AGTGGTAGAGCGCTTGCCTTGCATGCCTGAGGCCCTGGGTTCAATTCCTCAGCACCACATCAGCAAAAAGAAAAAAGCCGGAAGTGGCACTGTGGCTCAAATGGTAGAGCGCTAGCCTTGAGCTGAAGAGCTGAGGGACAGCGCCCAGGCCCAGAGTTCAGGCCCCACGACCGGACCTCAAAAAAAAAAAATAATCTCTTGGATTTGTATGCTTGGACTAGCTGCAAACCTTAGTCCTGATATCTGAGCCTCCTGAGTAGCTAGGACTCCAGGCATGAAACACAGAACTTGGATCTGGATTGACATTTAATTTTCTCCATTCCTCACTACTAGCCCCTGAGACTTAACATCTCTCCTAGTGCCTGGCATGTGCTAAGTAAATAATACCTAAGAAAAAATAATTTTTCTTGATTATGCAGATTGAACCCAGGGCCTCTTGGATGCTAAGAACATCTTCTACTACTCAGCTACCAAACTGACTCTTAAAATTATAATTGTATTTGATTAGGTAATACAAACCTAGATGCTGGAGATGGAACCTTGGGCTTTGGTACTTGAAAGACAATCACTCTACCACTCAGGCCAACATGAACAGGGTTTGAAAACCCAAAGGGGCAGTAAAATACAGTGGAAACAAGTCTCTCATCCACATTTGTCCTCCCAGGTTTTCCCTCCTGAGGAAAAGCCTGTGAGTTACTCTGTCCTTGGGGATAGTTTCATCAGACCCAAGGGAATGCTACACAGGAGTTTGTCTCCTTCCTTGCAAACACAGGATACTGTTCAACCAACAACAGAATGTTCTGCAGGACTCCTGAAGGAGTTAGTTCCAGTCGCCTCTGAAGAGTGTCATTTGGACCCTGGGCTTGGCTCTGGCACTTTCATCTCAAGGTCAGGTCTGTGTGATTGATGTTAGTCACTTTTGGAAACCCTCCACTTGGCACATGGCTGTCTGTCCCACCTCCTCCCCTTCTATGCCCCATACCGGGAATTAAGTAAACTCAGGCCTCACTTCATCCACATCCCCTGTTCCAATGCACGTTCTCTCAACATTAGTTTCCTTTTGTGTCAAATTCTACAAGCAGAAGCCCCTTTGCTGTTTGCAAGGTGCTGGTGGTAGAAGTGGCACCATTTTGGCTGGTTAGATTGGGCCTAATAAGAGCAGTGCTATGAGCCTCCTGCACCCTCCAGAGATTTGGCAGCTAGCCCTTGATTTCTGATGTACTGATATACTCGACTGTTTTCTTGGCCCACTCCACCCAGGGAAATGGAGTAGAACTTGGCCAGTGGCATTGAAGCCCAGTGATTGAGAAATGTTCTGAGAGTTTGGGCTGGCTGCCTAGCTCCATTAATTACTGGATCAGACAGGAACCATTTTTGGCTTCTCTGTCCCTTGGCTTGGGTTCTATCACTCCAGTGTGAGGAGAGAGGGACCATGACCTCTGCAGAGAAGTTCAGGCAGAGGGGCTGAAGACAAGATAGAAAAAGAGGAACACTGGGTCCTGGTTCAGTAGTTTGTCCCAGGTCAGTACTGTGGTCTCTGCAGGGATGGGGGCACCAGGCAGGGCCCTGGCCTTCAGGCAGTTTACCTGCAGGTGTATGTGAAGTGTAATGGAGCACATGTGCTTCACCTGTTTAGACATTACACTGGAAATAGTGGTTCCTGCATTATGAGTAGCCCAGACAACTTGCCTCCTGAATCCTCACTGCATCTAGATTGAATCCTATTCCCTAAGGGCAAGATAAACTTTTCTCTAAGGGACTTTGGTCTCTGGTTAATTTTAAAGCAGAATACTGGAATCTATACCTACCCGAGTAGTTCTGTTCTTCTCTCTGGAAAGTTAAAGTTGCTTAAGCAATATTTATACTTGAGACTTTGAAGTAGCTCTGATTGCTTGTGTAGATAAAGGTGTTGACTACCCTTTAGCTGTGAGCTTGGAAGTGTTAGCAATTGCAGTAAGTCCAGGAACTTTAGCAAGTGGTGGACCCCCAACATAACCTTATCTCACCTTCTAGATGGATGAGAGATGTTGGACCCTGGGATCTGGGGGAAGCAGCTGAAGAGTTTCTGAACCTATCACTTGTTACTTGGAAAACTTTTTTCTGGGTTCCTCCAAAGATGTAACAAGGTTTCTTTGCCTCTCATTTTGGGAGGATAGCTCTGGAGAAATGCAGAATGCATTGCAGAACTAAAGCCTCAGGCTGTATGTTATAATCAATTTCTGTGAGAAAGAAATCATCTTCCTTTGAGGAAAGGCAGGGCCATATGGTAGGGAAGGGCTTTGGAATCAACTCCTGAGCTTCTGCTTTGGTCATAGCTTGGCAGCCAGTAGGCTTTGGGTAAACTGCTTGAGTCATTGCTTATATTGGTATTTGCTATCTGGGATTCTGGTTAGGATTATTGGAGATTATCATCAAGAAGTGTGTGACTAGCAGTTTTTTTTTTCCCTCTCTCTCTTTCTTTTTTGGTGCTGCTATTGGAGGTTGAACTCAGGGCCAGGGAGCTATCCATTTTTTCGTTCAAGGTTGGCACTTTACCACTTGAGGCACAGCTCTACTTCTGGCTTTTTGGTAGTTTATTGGAGATAAGAGACACTTTCCTGCTGTGGTAGGCTTTGAACCATGATCTTCAGATCTCAGCCTCTTGAGTAGCTTTTGATGCTCAGCTGGTTATTTTCACCATCCCTGACCACAGCCATCTTTATAAACAGGTTAGACTTTGGCCAAGAAGTGGAGGCAGAGTATCAGAGAGAAGACAACAGATTTGAATGACTGACAGGCAGCCTCGTAGTTTTCCTGGGACTATTAGTTGCTACTCATAGTACTGGACATTTCCCCGAGTGTGTAGGTCGGGGCGGTGTTGGTCTGCTTTGCACTGATGCCCGGCAGGGTCTGGCTGGATGTGGCTCTGCAGCTCTTTATCCTTCTTGGAACCTTGATCTGTACTGCTCCTTTTGTCCTGCTGCTTGGAGATCTGAGAAGTGAAGATAATTTATCTCCTCTGTGAGCGAGTGCTTCTTTCTATGTGTGTGGGAGGGTGCGATGGAGAGAGATTTTTCTCTTCTTTTTGTTGCCAGTCATGGGGTTTGAACTCATTGTCTAAGCCCAGTCCATATCTTTTTTCACTCACGTCTAGAGCTCTACCACTTGAGCCACAGTTCTGCTTGTCAATTTCTGGTGATTAATTGGAGATAAGAATCCTATAGACTTAACTGCACAAGCTCGCTTTGAAACAATCCTCAAATCTCAGCCGCCCAAGTAACTAGTATTACAAGCATCAGCCATCAGCGTGTGGCTCTAACTGGGTTTTTGAGTGGATCTACTCAGTCATAGGAAGTGTCGGCATGGACTAGACTCATTGGCTTTCAACTCTTGTGAGGTTTACATTGAGGGTTTTCATGTGCAGACAACTCGATAATTGTAAAATGTAATATGTATGTTAGAACTTAGTATGGATAAGTTCACATTATCATCTATAATTGGATGATGAAAATTTCACATTCTGCCTCATTTGCACTTGTGCTGATCTTACCGTGAATGGCACATCCTTTTAGTCTCACCGTTCTTTCCTGGGTTGAGAATGTGGCTCTGTGGTAGAGGATTAACTAACACAGGGGTCTGGCTTCAGTCCCTAGCCCTGCAAA